AACTTTACGACGAAACCTTTACGTCCGAAAATGCAGGATGTAACATCTCATTCCCAAGCTTCCATCAATTTACTTATGGCTTACTTTCACATACGAAAAAATGGGTGTAACATGAAGTTGTAATTCAATCCAAATCATTTTCAAAGCCCTTCCGATCAATCAATGAAAATGTTAAAGAATTGGAGGATACAACCACTCGGATCTGATACAATAAAATGAGGGAGATGAAATGAGAGAGTCTTGTTGGTGAAAACCCTCACCGGCACCGTAAGGTGATAGTGAGTAGAGCAATTCAAAAATGAGAGAGTCTTGTCAGTGAAAACTCGCAAAGAGCACTATAAGGCCACAGTAAGAAGTGAATAAGAGAGGTCAGCTGGTGAAAACCCGCGAAGGGCGCCACTGGTCGAAAAGAGGATCCTCACCGCCATTGGCATCAACAAAGTCTTGGGCAAGGTTTTCTTGGGCAATCGTAATGAATTTCTTGGGTCGGACAGTTTACACAGATCAAGCACCAAGTCCAACAGGCATGGCATGTTCATTGAAGTCCGCATGTACTCCAGATAAGTCCTTCTTTCCTTTCCCCGAAAGGGTTACCTATTATCTAATTCATTATCCATTCCATTGTCTGTTTTTATTTGAATCCCTTTTGTCCAACTCTGTTCCAAAACTAGGGTAAAGAAGGGATGGCAAGACTGATTTACAGGGCTATTATTTAATACAAGCTAATATTCAAGAAGGCACCCAGCCTCTGCAGGGGCATCAAGTCAACCCTGAATGGCCATGGTAGCTGATGTTCTGAAATCAAAAACTCTCGGAAAAAGGAAATCAAATTGAAATTCCTACAAGGGCAAAAATGAAGTTGAAAAAGTTGAGTCCCACGCGACTAACTGTCTAGGCAAAGTTTGAAAAGCCAAAGATTTCCCAATGCTCTTAGGTTAAAAATTGAAAGAAGGAAATCAGATTGAAATGCCTGCAAAGGCAAAACAAAGTTGAAAAAGGGTAGGTCCCACGTGACCAACCGTCATGGAAAGGTTTGGAAAAGCCAAAGGTTCTCGGGGGCCAATAAGGAAATAGTCTTCAGGAAGTAACTAGTTGCAGTTGAAAGTATCATAAGAGGAGCCGGGCCGAGATCAAGTGACTGAAACAATCAAGGCCACAAAACCAACCACTGTTTTCACCAACAAATTGTTCTTTGTTTGAAAACAGGAAACATGTGTAATCCAAAGCAACCTTGCAAGAAGCAGGTGCAACAAAGAAAAAAACCGCACGGAGACTAAAATAGCTCTGCCGCAACAACGACTCCAAAGGGAAGTCTTCTTCAATAAAAAAAGAAGAAAAATTCAAAATCATAGTAGTATAGGGTCTTCAATCCTTAGCTACGTTTTCCAACATAGGATATCCACTCCCTAGTTGATGCTTTTTTTTAGACATAGGGTCTCCACTCCCTAGTCGCTTTTCCAACATAGGGTCTCCACTCCCTAGTTTATTTTGTTTTAGAAATAGGTTCTCAACTCCCTAGTCGCTTTTCCAACATAGGGTCTCCACTCCTTAGTTGAAGTTTTTTTAGACATAGGGTCTCTACTCCCTAGTTGATTTTTATTTTAGGCATAAGGGTCTTCACTCCCTAGTCTCTTTTCCAACATAGGGTCTCCACTCCCTAGTTGACATTTTTTTAGACATAGGGTCTCCACTACCTAGTCTCCTTTTCCAACATAGGGTCTCCACTCCCTAGTTGATGATCTTTAATTTTAGACATAGAGTCTCCACTCCCTAGTCGCTTTTCCAACATAGGGTCTCCACTCCCTAGTTGATTTTGTTCTAGACATAGAATCTCCATTTCCTAGTTACTTTTCCAACATAGGGTCTCCACTTCCCAGTTGATTTTGTTTTAGACATAGGGTTTCCACTCCCTAGTCGATTTTTCAGCATAGGGTCTCCACTCCCTAGTTGATTTTATTTTAGACATAAGGTCTCCACTCCCTAATCGCTTTTCTAACATAGGGTCTACACTCCCTAGTTGCTTTCATTTTAGACATAGGGTCTCCACTCCTAGTCTCTGTTTTCTCAAGGTACACCAATCCCGACTTTTATTGCTTTCAATAATAGTATAGTGTTTTGTTACAAATAACTTACGAAATTTTCCTAGTGAAAATTAGGGCAGAGAAATTTCATTCGTTCTTTTGTTTTGGTGTCTCACCAGGTTGTTACCTCAAGGCACATGGTTCGAGATGACCAAAAAGAAGTCTCAATCCAAAATAAAGAAAAGAAAAGGGAAATAAGTGAATCTAAAATGTAGAAGCAGAGAAAAGATGTGGACTGCTCAAGACATAACTGAAGTCACGAGCTTTGCATGTCTGGTGTTGATCCGAAGAAACCATAGAAGAATTAACTAGCACCTGCGGCTAGCAAGCCTCAAGATTCAGATCAGAGTCTGCGTGAAGAACTAACCAAGACTCAAGATCAAGCTTCAAAAGACTTATAGATGGGAATCTTGTAACTCGTAGCTGATAGGCTTGTTTAGTCTCTTTTCCATTTTGATTTTGGTGTAATAAGGAGTTCAGCAAGCAGTAACAGCAGCAACAATAGTGAAATCCAAGCTTCCCAGTAGTCCCAACTACCAAAACTTCCAGAACTACACTGACCCGATTCCTTTATATCCAAGGATATGTAGGCAACATCCGAAGCAAGGTTCGGTCAAACTTTTTAAAAAATGCTTCCCATGAAGTATCAAACAGGAAAAAATTGTTCATGATTGCTCACTTCATCTTTGCCCGAAAACTCTTGATGTATTCGAGCAAAGAGGGGCAGCTATGAGCACCTAATTTTGCCCCACATAGGAAATTACTCCTAAAAAAAGTCAAAAAATAATTTTAATCGCTTTTATAGAATTTTAGGAATTTTCCTTGCATTTATTTGCATTATTTATGCATTTTAAACCATAGAAAAATACCATAAAAATATTCAATTCTTCATTGCACAATATTTTATATTTTAATTGCATTTTTAGGATTTAATCACATATTAATTGAATAAATAATAAATAAAAACCACAAAAAGAATACAATGGTCATTTTTATATTTTTGGCTCTTAGTTTTAAATTGATTAGTATCAAGTTAATTAATTATTTAAATATTAGAAAATAGTAAAGTAAGTCAATTTTGCAAAATGGTTTAATTTGGATTATTGAGTTGTAGTGGCTAATTTTGTAACATTTAAAGCACAAAAAGAAGAGAAGGCTGCTAAGGTTAAAATCGGACTTGGGCCAGCAATCAGGCCCAACCCTTTACCAAAATTTGCTCACAAATCCCACAAAACCAGCCCAATTCCCACTACCCAAATCCGGTCCATTTCTCACCTCCCAAAACGACGTCGTTAGCCTTCCAAACGGCGTCGTTCCATCATCCCTCTCTATAAACGACCTAACCCTCACCCTAATGAGAGGAGATCGGACCCCCCAATTACCAAAACCTAGTCCGCTGCCCTAATTTCCCTTTTCCTCTCTAATCAGACCCTCCCCTTCAGCATCTCCAAAGAAACCCCTCTCTTTTAGGCGAAACCCTAGCCGCCATTGCTCATCTCACTCTCATCTCATTCTCTCACCACACGTACAAGAAAATTTCCTCCTTTTCCATCTCTGACCAGAATCGGACCCCCTTTTTTTCCCTAATAAACCCTAATCGTACATCTCCTAACGGCCGCCCCTCCATCCTCTCCATGTTAGATCTCACACTAAAATAAAGAACCCTAGCAGCCGCCTAATATCCCATCTCTCATCTACGCTTCTCACTTTATCACAAAGCTGGACACACACTCAATCACATACGTCTGAAACGACTAAGAGAAAGAGCTTGGAATTCAAAATCCGAGAATCTGAAAACCAAAATAAAAAATAGTTTGAAGAGAAAAAGGAAAAATAGTGGAGTTCTAGGTGGATTTTATACAAAAAAATATATTCAAAAGCTTAATATCTTTGGCATTCCTGGGCTTCAAAGTGGATTCGGCTGGATTCATTGCTTTTGTTGTTGTTCTCCTTTCAATTTGTGGCTAAGCTCCAAATCGTAGCTATTTTTAGCCTGGTTTAGGCTGTTGACTGTTGTTATCAAAGCTCAATTAGGTAAGCTATACACCTCCTTGTATTGCTTTCACTAAATAATTCAGATCTATGTAGGTCTTTTTGTCTAATTTTGTGCGTCTGCCTAAATTTCAATTTCTGCCATCCCGTGTGTGCAATAAATGTGTAGTTGCGTATCATTTGGAAAATGTCTGAAATGGTGAGGTAATTCGAAACACGGAGGCATGTTTGTGATATTGTAGCTTATGCATTTCCTTGGAAATTCATCATACGTTATATGACCAAATCAGCTCCACTTAGATATATTATAGTATGAATGAAGTAAGTATGATGAGGTTTAGTGAATATAACACTGTGTGAAAATTCTATTTGAAACATATGTGTACAGATGTTCAGTCATAATTTTGAATTCGTTTGAATGCTAAAAGCAGTTGTTTGAGTAGTAAACTTTGCGACAAAGTAGACTGAAATTTGGAGCAAAAGACTTAGGGAGCAGATAGAGAGTTAGAGTTCATTTAGATGCTTATTAAAATTTGAAGAAACTGAACTTGAATCTTGATTTTGCAATTAAAGAGCTATAATTTGTACCGTGTTTGAAAATTTTGATTTATCCTAAAGATTGGAACAATTTTCCCAACGTGACATGTCCAGATTTTGCTTCTATCTTAATCAAGTGGAAGTTTTTTGGTCGAACGAAAACTTTTTATAAATCTCTTGTCAAACTTACATCTCAATTACAATTAGTCTACTCTCTAACTATCTTCCTAACAATTATTTACCTCTCATCTATACATTTCCTTTAAAGATGTTTTCTATCCATTCCTTCTCACTGCTTGTATGGCTCCTTCTTATGGCTTCCCTTTCTCCTAACTTGCAATCTTGTTTAATCTGCTTTATTAGCTGCCCAGGTTGAACCACCTTGTGTTCCTAGAATGCTATATTTCTAGCTCTCCAAATGTGATACACAGTTGCTGATAGTGCAGCTATCATCACAGCCCTACATGCTTTCCCCTTAATCTTCCTGGTCATTCTTCTTCCCAGCCCCTGTATCTCCAGATTCCTCGTACCTATATTTAGCCACCTCTGTATGTCTTCTATACATCTCCTTGCCAGTGGACAGTCAAAGAATAAATGATTAATTGTTTCTTCTGCTCCTCCACAAATCTCACACAAACTGTCTTGACTGATGCCCATTTTATACACCCTTTCCTTTGTCATGAGTCTGTTGTGTGCCACCAGCCAGCATATCATACTATGCTTAGGTATGTTCAGCTTAGTCCATACCCAGCCTCGCCAAGGCCAGTCCTCCTTGGCCCCTTTCATCCAGTCATAACCACTCTTGATAGTATATACTCCATTAGCCTTAAGCCATTGATTTTGTATATACCCCCCAGCAAATTCATAAGAACATATCTTCCTCCAGTACCAACTACAGTCTGTAGGTACTTTATATTGCCACCAATCCCTTCCTTTTAAGTATATGTGGTTCACCCATCTCACCCATAGGTTGTCTGTTTTCGCTGCTATATTCCATACATATTTAGCTATGGCTTCTTCATTCCATACTACAATATCCTTCACTCCCAGTCCTCCTTGCCTTTTTGTTCTGCAGACCAAGTCCCATGCTACTAGTTGTGGCTTGTTGGAGTAGACTTTCCCATCCCATAGGAAGCATCTACATACCCCTATAATACTTTTTATCACTTTCTTGGGCAGAACAAAGATAGATGCCCAGTATGTGTGTATATGCGTCAGCACAGTATTCACCAATAGGACTCTCCCTGCATATGACAAGTTCCTTGTGCCCCAACTTTTGATCTTCACAGTCATCTTATCCACAAGTACTTCACAATCCATTATTGTCAGTTTCTTTGGCGAGATAGGCACTCCAAGGTACCTAAATGGTAATGTTCCCCTCTTGTAGCCTGTTAGTTCACATAGGTTTTGCAAATCCTGTTCCTCCATGCTTGCACTGAATATATTAGACTTGGCAGCATTAGTAGTTAGTCCTGATGCATTTGAGAAGCTTTGTAGTCCTCTTAACATTAGGACTATAGCTTGGTACTCCCCTTTACAGAACATTAGCACATCATTTGCAAAGCATAGATGATTCATCTGCAGCACTTTACATTTGGTATGGAAAGCAAAGTCTTCCTGCATAGCCACCAGATTCATAATCCGTGTGAAATACTCCATACAGATCACAAACAGCAATGGGGATATTGGGTCTCCCTGTCTCAGTCCCCTTTTACCATTTATACACCCATACAGGCCTCCGTTGATAGCTAGAGTATACTGTGTTGTTGTAATGCACTTCATTATCCACCCTATGAATTGGCTTGGAAAATTCAGTGCATATAACATTTCCTCCATAAATCCCCATTCAACTGAATCATAGGCCTTCTTGAGGTCAATTTTGATGAGACAGCTTTTTGTAGTGTGCTTCCTGTTATAGAGCCTTACTAAATCTTAACAAATTAAGATATTTTGGACAATTGATCTCCCTTCTATAAAAGCACTCTGATTATCTGAAATGATTTTAGGCAGTACCTTCTTTAGTCTTTGGCATAGCATTTTTGACATCACCTTGTACACTGTATTGCAACAGGCTATTGGCTTATAGTCTCCCACTACATCTGCATGTGTCCTTTTTGGGATGAGTGTTATAACTGTATTGTTTATCACTTTCAACATCTTCTGATTCTTAAAGAACTCCAGCTGTCTTTGAAAAATTGGCTTCCATAGCCATCTGGTCCAGGGCTTTTGTCCCCTGCAATTGCCCATAATGCCTGTTTTACATCATTCACTGAGTATGGTTTCACTAGCATTTTCCTGTCTTCTTCATTAACCACTGCTCCCTGCTTCACTAAGTAACTACATACATGATCTCTATCTGCCTTACTAGTGCCTAGTAGGGATTTATAGAATTCAATGAATGTTGTAGCTACACTGTCCATGTCAGTAACAGTAGTGCCATCAGCTCCCTTTATAGAGAAGATCCTATTGTTGTTTCTCCTTGCTTTGATGCTATTGTGGAAGTATCTTGTATTGTAATCCCCCTGTTCTGCCCAAGTTATCTTACTCTTTTGCCTTAAGTATTGATATCTAGCTTCTTCCCATCTGCTATACTCCTTTGCTAGTTCCCTTTCTTTCTTGTGTAACTCATGATCCCTAGGATTTTCCTGGATCTTAACTTGACAGTCAGTAAGATCCTTCTTTGCTTGGTCTGCTTTCCTTTCTACTTCACTGAATCTGTTTTTGTTGATCTTCCCTAATACTCCTTTCAATTTGTTTAGCTTCCCCACTAGTTGGTACTGCTTGCATCCTGATATCTTAGTTCTCCAGCTCTCCTCTACTTTCTCAAGGAATTCTGGTGCCATACTCCACATATTGAAGTACTTGAACTGCTTCTCCTTTTTATTTCTTTCTTTTTCCCAGCTGATAATAGCAGGACAGTGATCATACAGCCCTTCTTCCATGTAATGTACTGTGGAAGCTGGGAGGTTTGATGTCCATTCACTATTGACCAGCACTCTGTCTATCTTACTCATGACCTTGTCATCTCCTTCCTGCTTATTGTTCCAAGTAAAATAGGAACCAGTAGATTTAAGATCATGTAGATCACAACTCTCTACACATCTCTTAAAGTCCCTTATTTCTGCTACTGTTACAGGGCTTCCTATCCTTTCCTCCTTATATAATACACAGTTGAAATCCCCCATTACACTCCATGGCCCTTGAATTTGACTATGGATTTTGCTTAGTTCCTCCCACAGATCTCTTCTAAGGCCTTGATCATTGAACCCATACACCACTGTTATGTGCATTCTCTCATTACTCCCTCTGTGTTTTATTTGGCAATGAATCAGTTGTGCTGTTACTGTTACTATATCAACCTCATAGATGTGAGGTTTCCATAATAACCACATCCTACCTTTAGGATGTTTGTGTAAATTTGTATGGAATGACCACCCATTACAAAGATTAAGAGAGGCTTGTTGGGCCTTGTTTCTCTTAATCTTTGTCTCCAGGAGCCCAAATAGTCCAGCTTTAACATTGTGCAGAAATAGATTAACTTCTTTCTGCTTTGCTGCCCTATTTAGGCCCCTCACATTCCAACATCCTATATTATCCATTAGGTAGGGGGTTGCCCCCACCCTTCCCACTGTCATGGCCCTTACTAGCATGTTTATCCCCAGGGATAGATGAGCTTGCTTCACTTCCACTCCCCTTGTTGTTCCCCTCAGTACTCTTTGCTAATACTGCATATGTGTTTCCCAAAGATAGAGTCATCTCCTTTGGCCTCATAAATGTGTTGCTTTTCCCTTTCCTTTTTTGCTGCATCATTCCTTCTATCTCCTTTTCTTTGTTCTTGTCATTGTCTTCGTTCTCCTTATTTTCCTTTTGATCCCCTTTCTCCTCCATTTTCTGCTCCTCTTGTTGTTGTTTTGGGTTCTCCTTTGCTTCCTCCTTCTTCATGTTCCTTCTGCAATCCTCTTGTTCATGGCCAAAATTATTACAGGTAGGACAGTGTACAGGCTTCCATTCATACACGACTTGCTGCTCTATTATCTTCCCATACTCATTTTCAAACATAATCATTGAAGGATACTGTTGGTTGATTGATACTTCCACCAATATCCTCGCAAACGTGAGCCTTTCCTTCTGTGCAGTAGCACTATCTGCCTTTAGTGGTTTCCCCACCATGCCTGCTATTTTTGTTAAAGCACTCTTCCCCCAGTATTTGATATCCAATCAAGTTGAAGTTGAAAAGGTTTCATGTTTCATTTGTATGTGCTTATGTGGTGGGTAGTAGGTGCGGCTGAAAGCTGCAAGATTGCTTGATGATTTGGTGTTGCCTTGTTTGGCATGTCTAAAAGAACCATTTTCTCTGGAATTTACCCAACTAGGAGAAGGTCTTCCTATACAATAATTCTTTAGCTTCTACCTTCCCAAATTAAGTTGCTAACAACTGAATGTTTACCGTAAGTTATTTGCACTATATTCAGTGTTCTATTAGGGGTTATCCAGAGTAGTAGCCCCTCCACTCCTAACTCTAAAATGGTCTGGCCAATAGATTCACTAGTATTAGAGCCTCCCAAATTAGTTTTATTCTTAGGAAAATGAACAATCTTTGATATCCGTAGTATGCCTTAGGCGCGCTTTTAATTTACTATCGTGATTGCATACACATTTGCGTGACATGATTATGATTCCCAAAATAAAATCAAAGTACGTGTTCGCACGCCACCAAAAAACAATCTTAAATTAATAAAGTTGTATTAATTATGTACACGTACGCGTGACAAGATTTTTAGCTCACCAAATAAAGCGGATTTATACTCATGTAATCCGTTTCAAAGATTAAATCTATAATTCAATATATTAAAAGCGGTAAAAGGTAAAATGTACATAGGTTCCAAATTGAGTAATTAAATAATTTGGTTAAGCCAGGTATGATTAAAAGCGACCGTGCTAAAACCATGGAATCCGAGAATGCCTAACACCTTCTCCCGGGTTAAAAGAATTTCTTACCCGGTCTTCTATTTTTCGCGGACTTTAAAATAGAGTCAAATTTCCTCGATTTGTGATTTAAAAATTAACCGGTGATTTGGGACACCATAAATTATCTCAAGTTGCGACTCTATATTAAATAAATAATCCCATTTCGAATAATGTCACTTTAATTGAAAAAACTCCTTATTCCTTCGGAAAAAGAAGGTGTGACAACAACATTTATTAGCATGTATAATCCCTTTATCATGATAATCATCAAATATACCTAGAAAGGATAACGTGAGAACCTAAATCAATCCGTAACAAAAGTCCAAATAATAAGGAATTTGTAGAGGAGAGATATTCTTTTATTGAGTTAGATAAATGTGATTAATGTTCATGAGTTTTTTCAGGAATTTGGATTTTTAAAATTTTTTTACCATTCAAAACTTTCGTGAATAATATCTATGTAATTTTATAAAATTGTATTTATTGATATGAAATAAACGCGCAACGCGCGTACTCTAAGACTAGTCTATCTATACTATATTAAAAGCACGAAGGCCCTTAGAGAAATATCGTTCGCCTTTTTTACCCTTTAAAAATAGAGTTCACATTGGACAAGATTGTAATTTAATAATTTTTTTCTAATATTTAGAATTTTAAAATTAAATAAAGTTTTTTCTTATTAAACTTTTTCTTATTTGATCTATATAGAACTTCTAATATTTAGGGATTCAAAATCAAATATAATTAAGACGATGGTTCTTATGTTTGGTAAGTTTTGTGCTTTATTCAACGTTTTTATTTTTCAAAAAGTTTCATTCCTACTTAATGCTAGAAGAGTCATAATTTTAATCATATTTGATTAAAATTCTAACACGACCAAAATTCCATCATAGGTCGTGATGGCGCCCAACACCGTTGATAGGCAAGCTAACCCTAATCAACTAGTGAGTTCTCATGTATTTTACTAAGCAATCCCAACATTTACTTATTCTTAAATTTAAAACAGTTGATAATTAACAAATTCATAATAATAGAAATACAACCCAAAAATAATAGTCTAAAAATGTGTGTGCGAGGAACTAATGTCACAAGTACTAGGGCAACTAGTAGAATGTACAAAAATACAACTATCCTACTGCCTGAAATGGAATAGACAGTAATAACAAAAGGAGAGACCCCGGCATGCTGTCGAACGACTCAGAAGGGGCAGCTCACCGTGAGATTTTGATCAAGTATCAGGATTGCGCGCCCGATGGGTAGCTAGATGTACCTACCTCAGATCCTGTACAGTTAAGTACAGAAGCATAGTATGAGTACATAAACAATATGTACCCAGCAAGTATCCAGTCTAACCTCGAAGTAGTGATGAGGGGTCGACTTGACACCTACTAGGGTCAATAATAACACAGTTTAAGTGTTATGCTAAGCATGAATAGCATGAATATAATGATAGTCCAAGAACAAGGAGAAATAAGATATTCTTTCTTAACAACATAACATTTTTCAGTCATACCATGTAATAAGTTACATTTCAAAGCATTTAAGCTGTGTAATTCACGGAAAGTTCCACATAAATAACATGCGCACATTGTGCCGAGGTCGTACGGCCCGGTCCGATATAATAATAAACTGTGCACTGCAAGAGGATCAAATGGCGCGAACCATAGTTGCATCTATTTACTACTCAGGAGATCGGTCCGATCCACAGATAAAAATTATTATCAAGGAAGTTTACATTGTCCATTTATAGTCAAGTGATTCATGCAAATTCTCAAGTAAGTGAGTATAGCCGTCTATATTTGTTTACCAATTTT